TTTTATTTTAATTAATTTTATTCATTTAATTTGTTTTTTTTTTTTTAATTTTATTTTCCTATATTGTATTTTATATTATTTTATTTCATTTGATTCTCTATTTATTTTATTTTATTTCTTTTTATTTATTTTACATTAATTTATTTCATTTTATTTAGTTTTATTTTATTTTCCAAAATTTTAGTTAATTTTTATTGAACTGTTTTTTTTTTGTTCTTTTATTTTATTAGAATATTTCTATTCAGTTTATATTATTTAATTTATTTTTTAATTTATAATACTTTTAAATTATTTTGTTTTGTATTATTTTATTTTGGTTTTTGCTGGCATTCCTTTTTTAGTTTTTTTTATTTGATTGAATTGAATTTATTGTTTATTTTATTTATCTTTTCTCAACTCATTTTATTTTATATAATTTTATTTTAATTAATTTTATTCGTTTAATTTGTGTTTTTATTTTATTTTCCTATATTGTATTTTATATTATATTATTTTATTTTATTTTCATTTATTTTATTAAATTTTATTGCTTTTTATTTTCTTTCCTTTTATTTCATTTTACATTATTTTATATTGCAATATTTTATTTTAGTTTTATTGCACTGTTTTACTTTTTTATTGTACTGTATTGCATTTTATTTACACTTTGTTTAATTAAATTTAATTAATTATTTTTCCTTATTTTATTTTATTTTGTTTTCGTTTATGTTATTTTATTTTACTTTATTTAATTAAAATTAAAATTATTTCATTTTTTTATTTTAAGTCGTTTTATTTTATTTCCTTTTATTTATATTATTTTATTTTAACAGTTTTCTTTCATTTAGTTCAATTTTCTTTGGTTGTAATTTTTCAATTTCATTTTTTCAATGCTTTTATTTTACTTTATTTTGATTCATTTTATTTAATTTTTGTTTATTTAGCTTTGTTTAATTTTATGTTATTTTATTTTATTTTATGTTCATTCATTTTGTATAATTTTGTATGATATATTTTTTTTTATTTGACTTTATTTTGTTTTATATTTTTATTATATTTTATGTTATTTTTTATATTACTTCCTCTTCTATTATTTTCTTTACTTTTACTTTCTTTTATTTTTTTCTTTCATTTTATTTTATTTTGTTTTGTTTTAGTTATTTTATTATTAATTTTATACTTTAATTTATCATTTAATTTCAGTTTATATTATTTTATTTCATGATAGTATTATATATTATTTAATTTTATACAACTAATATTTTTTTATATTATTTTTTATATTTTTTCATTTACCTTGATTTTATATAATCTTTGATTTTTTCGTTTAATTTAATATTTTATTTGATTTTAAATCTTCCAAATTTTTCTGTACCCCTTGTAAAGGCGATTCATAATAATACAGTATGCGAAAATTGTCTCTTATCAACAGCTGCGATCTTTTCTCATTCTGGTTCACTTTATACACAATGTGGACAACATAGTGAAATAATTAAATTCTAACTGCTTGTCTCCAATTGTTCATGCATAATAAATATGCTTTTCAATCCTTTTAATAAGATTTTTAAGAAATTGAAGTAATACCGTTATAACGTGTTGATAAAAAAAAAAATTACGTCAACCATCACTCTTATATCGTGCTTCTACCTTACAATTTTTTTTTTTTTTTTTTTTTTTTTTTTTTTGGCAGTCTCATATTCTGGTACACGTTTGCTGCAAAGAAAATGCTCACATACATATTTTTTCGGTTTTCCAACGCCAGCAAGAGTTCATTGGTATACTTGCCTTCACTATTGCACTATAATTAAAACCCATTACCTTCCCAGGCATCGTGGAGTAGGCTTAAATTAGTTTGTGCATGGACGATAATGCAACTCCTCACACCGCTCATGTAACCTATACACCAATGTCACTGCTAAAGTGTTTCCTTAAACACATCAACGTCCATCGCATTCTTGTGTTTAAGTAGACAGTTTTTTGGCTTAGATTTCAGAACGTTTTTCGGTTAAGTGACAACACTTTGGTTCTATTGTTATCTTTGCATCCCCCTTTCTGATGCACAACAGCCAACCCAACACAATTGTGGAACTCAGTTCAATTAACACGTCGGCCGGGAATGACGTACATAGATATGTGAACATGTGAAACTGTGAATGTATGATTGTTGTTGCTGTTAGATGCAAAGATTGCAAGGGATCCAAAATGCTGCTGAGAAATTCGATTACTCGTTGATTGCTGCCACTTTTGTTCGTATGAGTGAGTTGATTTTCGGTGGCAGCATTCAGCGCGCCTAATTCTTAAGGGCAAGCAATTTCAATGAGATTGTGTGTTTAGGCAGCCGTGCTTTCTATGGATCAGAGAAATGATACTAATGTTTGCATAGGAAAAATATTTGATATTTACCGTATTATGAAAGGTACTTTAAATTATGTGTACTGCTCTACTTCCTTTTGTGGCATTTTTAGTGCTGATTGGAAAGAGTTGTTTTTTGCAAGTAAATTTTAACTGGTCTGGGTTTTGATTCGCATTTTTTTTACTGAGACTTAACTCTGCATCAATTTTTTGATACATAATTTTCCTCAAAATCACACGTTCATTTATTGTTTTATTATCGTCCAGTGTTTTTATATAATTTATATAATATACGCAATTTAGTTGGATGCTTGGTGTTTACATAAGCTCTGTTCGGTGAGAAATGTCAGTCAGAATTGGCCAGTAGCTAACGTCTTAGCTGCGGGCATTCGGTGCAAATTTTACTGATTTGTTGCCTCACCGAAAGCGATTCAATAAAATTCAGTAACATTTGTAACTGCCCATCAGGTCACCGAACTATTGACATTAAATTGCATGAACCTAACCTCACTTTAATAATTCCAACACAATTTTATATGAAACATTCAGCACCATTTAAACAAATTACTCATCGTAAATAGTCACAAAGGTAAATTTAACTCTGCAACAACAACATAAAACTCTTAACTCAACACTCAAAAGCTATAAACTAAATATACCCTCAGGATGCGAAAATCAAAACAAGCATGGCGTCAAAACAATGGAAAAATATGTGTTGAAACTGTATACTAAATCGTATAAATCTGTTTTAGAAATGATATATAATGCATAGATAGATATGCACGACTTTAATACTATCCAAATGTAGTAAGTGTGCGCGTGCCATATTTCCAAAACACGTACCAAACAGAAAAAACTTGCTTATTTATCTGCAAACTAGCCGAGTGGGCAACATGCCAAATTAATGGGCCACCAAGAAGCAATACGTATCAACAACTCAAGCTAACGGTGATACCAAACGTAGTTGTTACTGTTGAAATTTCACTTGGCCGTAAAAGAATAAACAAAAAACAAAAAGTAAATAAAAGAAAAATGGGAAAATTGAATTTAGTGTGAAAAATTTCAAGGAAAACAAAGGCCAGAGTGAGGTGAGTGTAGAAATAAAAGGCGAAAACAAAAACGGAAAAAGAAAACATTTTTAACACCTGACAAATACAGAAGGAAGCTGAAGGCTGACAAGCGTCATTTAAAAGCATACATACATATGTACTTATATATGTCGCATGTGTATTTATTATTGAAAATACAGTGTTATATGGAAATTCCGCACCTTAAATTTTATAAAAAAAAACCAATTCAAGAAAAATACGGAAAAAAATGTAACTGCATAAAAATGTATTGTGTCTATATGCTCTTATTTAGTACATACTAATATACATGCATTTACATATACATATGTATATATATGTATTTTTTATAGCTACCAAAATAAACATAGCATCTGTAGTAAATTCACAATTTAACATACGAATTTTTTTATTTCACAACACACTCTCCCTTTGGACGAGGTTTCATTTATTACACACTACTTTATAATGAAAACAAGCTCTCCCCACCACCCCTGCTGTTAGTGAAAATTTTAAAATTGCGGTCACGTGTTTGCTTATTCATGAGGAATGTTGCCTGCCAGTCGTGTTAGTTATTAAAAATTAAAAATATTATATGTACATATGTACATATGTTTGTATGAACAAAAAAAAAAAGGCACCAAATGCCGGCTGAAGAATGTCTGAATTTATGAACTTTCGTGTGAGTGTGTGTTTTCTCGTATTTTTGGTTGCATATTTTTTGAATGAATTGATCTAATAAACTACCATTTAAAATTTGAGGAAAACCTGTAGAAAGGTTGAAATTTTTTCATACGACATACTTAATTCTTTTTATTTTCACTTTCATCTTATTTTTAATAGAAAATGTTAAGGCACGTTTGGGTTCAACAAATTTCTTGCAGATACCAATCTTTTTATTAGTCAATTGGTAATTGTGCTCGGTGGGTGACGATTGAAAATCACTTGCGCATTACCAAAATATTATTAATCTTTTCCTTTCGATTGCATTACTGGAATTTTTAATTTAGATAAGTCTAGAAAATATTGAAAATCTACCCTTACATTATATATACACATACATATTGTACTCATACGGATTCTAAGTTGATCTGCTCGTGCTCTGCAGTAGTGACAATGTGACTGAACAAATTTTCGAAAAGATTTAATTCAAATGCGGTTCGTACCTACACACTCACCTGCATAAGTTTTGTATTATATAATATCATCAAATCAAGCATCCATTCATATCAAAAAGTTTGCCGATAAGAGTTCCGCAACTGGGCAAATTGAATCCACAAGTCATTTCTGTATTTGCAATATCTCTATTTAAAGCGGATTTATTATTACGGAAGTCTTAATAGACTTATGAATTATATATGCATACACATTTTTAAACACACGCACTTAAATATTACAAAAGCCGCATATAACAGCTATACAAATCACTTTTTATGTTATAAATTTTAAGCACAATTAAAATTTAATATCCGCGCGTACTGACGCCCACATCCGCTTCACATAACTGTAAAAACAAGCCAGCGAAAACGAGAGCTAGATGTCGTACCAGTATTTATTTATAGAAATCATCTGTTAACCAGCTGATACTTTATTGTCTATGAATAATCCATCGCCTTTATAAAGTCAACAAAATTTAGAAAAAGCTGGCGATTTTTAAGAGTGTTTTAAATATAAATAAACCATATGTATTAGTTAGCAAAAATGTCCTGCTTTGGCTGCAGCAAAAAATATGGACTTTTCACCAAGGAGGTAATTGGAAGGCAGTTTAAAATTAGCTTTATCTGAAGAGTCTCGGAAATTGTTTTTTTCTCTATTTGTTTAGCACGGTTGCCCCAATTGTGGCTACTCCTATTGCGTTAAGTGTCTCAAGCGTCCAATGCCAGTACCACGACAAGGTGGTAAGGTGTTAAATGTATGCTTAATTTGTTACGATAAACTTTCAAAGTTGCAAGCGACTGAAAAAGTGATTGACATCGATGCATTACCAGGTGTTTTGGTGACCAAATCTAAAGTGCATAGAGGCACCGAACCGCTGGTGGCAGCTGCTGCGGCATTGTTAGAGTAAGAAATCTAAATAGAATTAAAAAAATATATTTATATATCATTACTAATAACTTCCACAGAGATGATCCACCACCGGATTTAGGTGTAGTTTTAGCGCCTACATCCAGCGCCTCCATAATAGCTACTGAAGCTACACATTCCAGTATAGATAATACAGAAATTGAAGAAAATTTAGATTCTGTTATTTCTAAACGCCTCAAAGATCTAAAAACAATTGAAAATCCTTCAACAGATGAAGAGATACGTACACGACTTGCCACATTAAATGGCATGCCACAAAAAGATTACTCCAAAAAAGATTTGCTACTCTCTACAGATGAGCGCACAGATCAGCAAAAAATGCAAGATCTTTTAGAACAATTTATGGGTGAAACACAAATCGATCGTCAAGTTGAAAGTGAACGTAAAGACGCCATATCCGATATTGAACGAAGGTTGGCGGCACTTCGAGAACACCCGGTAGATGGTGCGAGTATCTTAGGAGCAGGTGGAGTACAAAAAGAGCACTCACCAGACAATAATACACCTAGTGATAATGAAGATGACGAAGCGGTACTAAAAGCTGTTATGCAAAAGGTACGGGCAGATATTCAATTAAGTATGGTTTAATACAAAAAAAAAAGCATGTAAACAAATGTTCTCTTCTTAAAAAAACATATGTAAAAATATTTTCCGTTATCCCCTCCTTAGTATTTAACAGAAGCACGTCTACCAGCTGCACCTACCGACTTGGAAGCCGAACTAGCCTCTGGTGTGCCACCTCCACCGGCTGGCACACGTCCCGCTGATCTCGAAGAGCTACCATGGTGCAATATTTGTAACGAAGATGCGGTATTTCGTTGTAAGGGCTGCGATGGTGAACTATTTTGTGCGCAATGCTTTCGAGAGTGCCACAACGACGACGAAGAATATCGCGCACATGAAAAGGTTTTGTATTCTGCTCCACCAAAGTTTAAAGAAAATCACTTTTAGCTTAATACTTTGTAATGCAATAAATAGTAACTATAAAATTACGGATATACATATATGTATGTATTTGTTTATTCGTACATTCTATTGATACAGACATGTAACATATATAATTCGTAAAGCTTTTATCAAAATAATGAAAATAAAAATCAAACCACATATAAAATACAAAATATAATATGATTTCATTCAAAACTTCTTAGAATATTGAGTAGATGTACGCATTAACTAATTTATGGTATGAACATTATTTAGGCTTAAGAACAACAAACAATTACAAGTATATGAATATGCAACTTTAAATCTGCTTCTATATAATTTGTGTATTGATTTTCACCAAAACAATAGTTAAGAAGTATAACAAAATTTTGATTTTCTTACAATTATGAGCTAACTTATGGAGGATAAAAATATTTGTATGTCAATTTGTTCGATAATTCTTTCCACAAACGGGTATATTTTGTAGACTGTTAACTTATATATATTATCATAGTAATGTTGGTCAGCAATTTGACCGTTTCTCTAGTTGATAATTTTGCTTGGCAACAAAATATTATAAATTCATGTCTTCTATTCAACTATTATACAACATACATATGTGTATATGGATATTTTTGCTTGGGCAAATATTGCACCTGTATGTTTACAAACATATGAAACGTGCGACATTATATGCGCAATTTCTCTAGGAATTTAGGCACTAAATGTTGCGCTGAATAGCGATCGAATGTAAAATATTCGAAAAATGTATCTCTTTGACGTCGAAACAATTCCGGATTGCGACACCAATTGTAAAGCATTTTAATTAATTGATTGGAAGTGTTGTAGAGGTTCTCTTTAGGATATATTTCCGGATATACGAGTTTGTTAGGCGCTATTGGCATACAGCCACAATAAGTTGCTTCCAACCTATAAAAAAAAAACATGTACACGTATATTATTAATAAAATGAATACTCTTATATAGGTAAAAATTTACATAGCCACGCCATAAAATTCATGTCCAGCCGTTGAGATTACAACATCTCCTGATAGCAACGTTTTTATATACTTATCACGCGGAAGAAATCCAAAATTAATTAACTTTGCACCCAATTTATCTTGTAAGCCATCGAAAGACTCTGGCGCTGCCTGGTAGTTCTCACCACAAATTGTCACTTTGAAGTCAACTTGTCGCTTGTAAAGTTCCAATAAGACTTCTACCAGCAGTTTTGGATTTTTATCGTGCTCCCAACGATGTGGCCAAATCAAATGTAAACAGTCTTTATCGCTCATCAATGAAGTAAGCGACGGCTCGGCTCCTCCAATCATCAGCCGCTTGTTTGGGAAGGCATGGAATTTAATGGGATAATAGATGACTTCACATTTTTTCTCAATTTTTTCACGTATATGCTTCAATTTAAAATCGGGTTGTATATTGAGGAAGGGCGTAATGCTGTCCAGAAAGGAAGTTCGGTTAAAATTCGAGTTGAAAATTATGTTGTCCGCTGAAAGACTGTAGATGAAATAATATAACATTAATTCGCTATTTTGAATGTCTAAAAAAAAATCGCCGCCAACAACGTACCATGTTAGTATTTGATTTAATCCATACTGACAATCGCGCTCCTTAACCTCACGTACCGGATATACCAATTGGTTTTCATGAAAATATACAATCTTTTTACAGTTTACCAAATCCGGTCGCACACCCAGCAGCTCAGCCAAATTCAGTACGGAACTAGTAAAGAGCACTTTATATTCATGATCCGTGGGTATGACTTGTGAGAAATATAATGCACCAGTGCGTGCGCGCCAGTGCCACTTTTTCGCAGGTAAACTAAATATTTCATAGTCGCAGATATTTAGGCCTGCCGTAAAATAAAATAAATTGAAATGTAAAAATGTGCAGCGGAAGTGGAAGTACTAAAACCGGCGATTCCTCATAGCACAATGTACTCACATTCGATGATTGTGTCTATCAACTGCTTGTGGCTACCACCATAAAATGGTTCTATTATTAATATTGATGGCTTTGACATTGCAATGAGCTATGAAAAGTAAACTTTTAATTAAACTTTCTCGGAAATAACAATAAAATACATATGTTTTATTTTGATATAAAATTTGTGTGTACCTCATCTGTTTGTGGTGGCACAAAAAATTAACTGCATTGGTATGTGTAACTGGAAATAAGTGTTGCAGCAATTAGTAGTGCTTAGACATTTTTAAACCAATGCAAAATAAATATTTATAATTGCATCGTATATATATGTAAAATATGTAGTTTTTATAATAATATTTATATTGAACTTAAGTTTTATCTTATAATTAATATTTTGTTATTCTCAAACTTTCGGGAAGGATTTCTATTTCATATGGCAACGTCAGTGAAACCCACTTGACAATTATGACATTCTCTGACCATTAGATATCATAACCCAAAAAATTTTTGCTTGATATTAACTTGAGGCATCCTGTCGAGAATTCTGCACAAATTTATAACGTTAAAATTTGTAAACAAATAACTTAACAAAATCTACGACCATGTCTATAGCTTCAGTTAAAAGTGAGGATGAGTATAATACTCTAATCAAGTAAGTTATTGTTATCTGTCAGACTGTACAAATCAAGTAAAGATTTGTGTTTTGCCTTCTTAAGTGCTGAGAAGACAACAGTAGTGCTATTTACAGCCGATTGGGCTGAACAGTGTAAGCATGTGCAGGATGCGCTGGAGGAGCTGGCCAAATTTTTGGGTAACAAACTGCAATTTGTGAGTATAGCCGCCGAAAACTTTCCAGAGATTTCCATGAAGCACCAGGTATAAATAGCAATTCCCTATAAAAAAGTAAATAAATTAATTAAAAACGACCCTTGAATTATTTTAGATTGAAGCCGTACCTACTATTATATTCTTCACTAAAGGCACAGCTGTAGATCGCGTTGATGGTGTTAATGTAGCTGAGATCACTGCCAAATGTAAAAAGCTTGGCGGCTCTGTAGCAGGCGAATCATTGGAGGAACGTTTAAAGGCACTTACCAACAAAGCAGATTTAATGGTGTTCATGAAAGGGGATCGCAATGCACCACGTTGTGGTTTCTCCCGCCAATTAATTGAAATTTTAAATGCAACAAGGTGCGTATCGCTTGTCTTAGCTAATTAAAATTGCTAAATATTTTCATTTCAGTTTACCCTATGAAACTTTCGATATTCTCAATGACGAAGAAGTCCGACAAGGTTTAAAGACTTACTCAGATTGGCCTACATATCCACAGGTCTACGTTAAAGGCGAACTGATTGGTGGTTTGGATATTATTAAAGAACTTAAAGCAAATAATGAGTTGGAGATCGCACTGAAAGGTTAAATCAGATGACCGCAAGACCCAGTAGTATAAATAACCCATACATTCATACATACATGCGCGTGAAATTTTATTTATTACACAAATAAAATTGGTAACTGGTTTTGGTAACTCAAACGAAATTGTTGTTTGGCTTTGTTGAGTAATTGCTTAGCTTAATAAAATACATATGTAAACATTAAAAGAAAATTTAAAGTACAAAATTAGTATAACGAAGGTGTTTATTAATAAAAAGCGTATTTGCTATGAATTTTAATATTAATGCAGTTATGCATACATATAAAACTTTATGCCTAATTCACATTTGTCTCTTTAACATTTGTGTTTTTACATATGTATATATTGCGAATGAGTTGTGCCTCCATCGCATTAAACATTCCAATACAAGTTATTGGAGTATAGTGAAGGCTGCGTAGCGATTGGCAGTAATATAATCCAACCAAGAAATCCAACAATGTAACACATAATTAGAAGCACGCGTCGTACCAAGTGTTGTTGCCACAAGTCTTGCACATCAGGTAGACCCATGTGGTTACAAAATGCATGCACAAGGAATGGTGCAACAAAATGACCAGTACGCGCGAATAAGAAAGCCGAGTAAAAACCGAAGATTGTGGTATAAGTCAGTTGAAAGCCTGTTAGGGAATAAAACGCTTACTACCAGTATTTTAATGATGAAAATACTGTAACTTACATGATATTACTATGGCAGTCTTTAATTCCATGCCCAAGCTTAAGCGCTCACCTATATGGTGTATATGCGCGGTTCCGAAGAATAGTGGCGTAATGAACACAGCGGTCAAGGGGGAGAAACTTTGTAGGATCAGTGGCATCATGCAGGCACGAAAAACAAATTCTTCACTAATCGGCGCCATTACATGGTTACGTATCCAAAGTATATTTTTAAACGAGCCGATCCAATAGTCAGTATCTGATATATAGAATAACATTAACTCCTTAACAGAACGTAGAACGGTATAAATATTAATTTCTTACCCATAAACATTTTCAACGACTCATTCTGCATTTGCACGCAAAGTGGTCCTAAAAACAATAACATTGTTAGCAAATACGGTAACACGATAGCTGGAAAGATCCCCTGCCATCGCAATCCTAGTACCTCCGCAAACGTTGCACGCTCCAATAAATCTGGAGATGAAAATTTATATACAAATAAAGGTGCAATTAGCATTACTATCGAAACGCTGAAGAAGCGCCTCTTAACAGTCGCCGGGTGGTCGCGATTATGTTTGGTATTCCATACATATAAGCTAGCTACATATACCACTGATAGTATGAGGCAACAGCTAACTGATGTCACTACAGGTATATGTGGTAAAGGAAGTACACTAGTAGCAGTCCCTTGACTACTATTGCTGTCGCTGCTATCGTTCATGATATTCACTTATATTTATTGATATTGGCCGTTGTATTTCCTGAGTTGTTTCATTTGCATTAAATCAATTTAAATTTTATGAAAACACTTTTATATTTGGGATGAGCAAATGTACAAAGTTTGCAAAATAAAAACAACAATTAACAGCTGTTTGTATGGAGTAGAGCTGCTAAGTTTTTTCTATGAGGAAGCTAAACAAGATTCAGAAAATGTCAAAATCGAAGGCACAATTTGCTGATTTCAATTTACAGGTTGGTGTTAGTTACTACCTATAAATTGCAACCCTTCATCAGCTGCTTTAATCTTTTGCTCTCTTCTCTCTCTGAAAAGTAAACTTCTGATAAGAAAACGCTCTATCTTTTATAAAAGCAGTGATTGGAAATAAAAGTTCACAGTTCTAGCGTTGTTTTGGTTTTAAGTTTTGTGTTGTCATTAAACTTAATTAAAAAATCGGTGTTTTGTGAGTTATCACTTCAACATTTTTATTTTAATAACTTAATTCATAAAACAAAATGCTGCCCCTATTACGTGCTGCTACCGGCTTTAGTCCCGCCATGCGGATCTTCCAAAAGGTTAAGTTGATATTGATATCCATATATGTAAATTGTCACTTATTTAATCTTATATATTATTTTGCATTATTTAGACCTCAAGCCTGCAGCAAATACGTAATTTAAATTTGCTTGAGTGTAATAGTAAAGAGCTTTTGGAGAAATATGGTGTCGCTATACAGGAATTCAAAGTACTTGATAATTCATCCAAAGATGACCAGTTGTTAAACCAATTTGGTAAGGTTTAATTAATGTCATTATAATTTATTGATTCATAAAAATATCACGTAATATTATTATACAGATTGCCCAGAGTATGTAGTGAAGGCGCAGATATTGGCAGGGGGTCGCGGTAAAGGTGCTTTTGATAGTGGGTTCAAAGGTGGCGTGCATCTTACGAAAAAGTCAGTATCATGTTTATAATCAAATATGAATTGCAAGTTATATATTTAATTAAACTCTTAGGAAAGAAGAAGTGTTGTCACTAACTAAACAAATGATTGGTCATCGTTTAATCACCAAACAAACACCTAAATCTGGAATTTTGGTTAAGAAAGTAATGGTGGCGCGTAGCGTCAATATAACACGCGAAACTTATCTTTCAATTGTATTGGATCGTGAACACAATGGACCCGTGCTCATTGCCTCACCAGCTGGGGGTATGGATATCGAAGCGGTTGCCGAAAAGACACCAGAAAAAATTAAGACAGTGCCATTGGATCTCGATAAGCCAATACCCCAGAATGTACTTACTGACATTGCTAAATTTTTAGAATTTAAAGGTGAATGCGTAGCACGTGCTGCAGGAGAGATACAAAAGCTCTTTGACCTCTTCAAAGCGGTTGATGCTACGCAAATCGAAATAAATCCATTAGCTGAAACCGATACCGGTGAAGTTATCTCCGTTGATGCTAAATTAAATTTTGATGATAATGCCGAATATAGGCAAAAAGAAATTTTCGCCCTACACACTGCCGAAGAAGACACAGACCCACGTGAAGTTGAAGCTGCTCAAAACAATCTGAACTATGTTGCAATGGATGGTAACATTGGTTGTTTGGTGAACGGTGCTGGTCTCGCCATGGCCACTATGGATATTATAAAGTTAAATGGTGGTGAGCCAGCGAACTTCCTTGATGTTGGCGGTGGCGTTAAAGAGAATCAAGTTCTCAAAGCCTTCCAAATCGTCACATCCGATCCCAAAGTAAAAGCTATACTTGTGAATGTATTTGGTGGTATTGTCAATTGTGCAACCATTGCTAATGGTGTGGTAGCAGCTTCAAAAACACTCAATTTACAGGTGCCACTTATTGTACGCTTGGAAGGCACCAATGTAGATGCGGCCAGAAAAATATTAAAAGACTCGGGTTTGGCCATACAGACAGCGGTCGATTTAGACGACGCAGCACACAAGGCTGTTGCAGCATTACACTAAAAAGCTCCCGAAGTAGCTCATATAGCTTTGGTTCACTGAATACCTTGCAAATCCAAAAGTGTATTTTATAAAAATTTATATGCAGAATTTAATTAAAACTTCTCGAAGAAGCATTTAATCAGAGTTTAATGGCATAGCAACTTGTATAATTAGACATCAATTTTAGTTTTTAGCCGTGTGATTGTTATAAAAGAAATATGTTACTATGTAGCTTTTTAGAAATAAATAAAATGCATTTTACTTGAACTTTTTTGTGTGGAATCATTTTTTGAAACTTCACTGCATTCGTTTTTTTGCTTAGATATACTGTTCGATTATCTACGGAAGCTTTTCATGATGCTATAAAAGGTATTTTTATAGGAAGTGTTTGAAATAATTTTATTTTTTCCTTAAATTTTCATGTACATTTTATGGTTTCAACACTTACAGCGACACCTGCCGTCATTTTGTCTACTGTTAAATTTTCCCTGCTTTAAGGATTTGGTGCTCATCCATGTGGAGAGTTTTTAGTACAACCGAATTAAGTTTTTGACAACTCTTTGTTTACGACATTTACAAATCTACATGTTCACAGGTGTTTGCTATAATGCTAAGAGCTTTTGCAAATTTTTAATTCAAACTTTTATCGGCTTTGAAGCTTTAATACTTCTACTAAAGCTTTTATAATAACTATTCTATTTTTATACACGATGGAATGCATGTCATGGGCTGGATGAGTGGTCGACAATCAGGCCGAACGTACAAACTCAGATCTGGACGCTAGGGACTTGTGAGACGCAGATGACGAATCTACACGCCTGCCAAAACACAGGGCTCAGAATCGTGAAAGGAAACCTCCTGATATAGGCAAAGCATCATTTGCACAGCGAAAACCGCTGGATTCTTTCTATTAGCTGTAGGATGAATTACCGGCCTGATCTGAATATCAAAGATGGCGGTGGCGTAATTATCACCTTCATCAATTCATCAAACTGTAAGTGAAATCGTCGGAATACAACCACCATATATAATAGCCGAAAACCTCAAATTGTCTTGTGAGAAAAGAGTAATCTAGCACAAATAAGGTCTGAACACTTCAGTATACTTAACTCCTGACAGTCAAGACTCGACCTTAGAGATGCCCAACATACATACATGTGTGCAACATTTAATAAGTCCCCGGCCGGATACTAACCACCTCTTTGCATGCCACATAAACCCCTCCAGCTGGAAGGTCTCGACAATCAAACGGTAAGTAATTAAATTGGGATAACAAGTAGAGCCATGTCCACTTATTAACTAGTTTTTTTCAACTGCGGAGGTGGTGCTTTCACCGATGGGTACTGCATCGAAAACTTTCAAAGCTGAAGTATTCGTATCCATCTGGACCAATGACCTAAACAGCGCAGCTGTTGTTTCTTGATTCCCTGAACCATATCAATGTCAACATATGTCATTCCATCGGCTGCAGTAGTCGCCGTTCCCAACTTGTTGAAAATCATAAATCTTACGCAAAACCTTTCTCACGAAAACTCCTAACGCCGACTAATTAGATGTTGTCATCTTCCACCATATAGCAGTACGGAAATGATAAGCGACTTGTAGAGTTTGGTTTTCGTTCGTCGAGAGATGGCTATACTTTTCGATTGTCTCCTGAGCCCAAAGTAGCATCTGTTGGCAATAATGACTTGACGTTGGACTTCAATGCTGAAATTGTTGTTGGTGTTAATACTAGTTCCAAAATAAGTGAAATTATCTACGACTTTAAAGTTGTGACTGTCAACAGTGACGTGGGAGTCGAGTCGCTAATGCGATGACTGTTAGTGTGATGATATCTCCTGTCAGATATTTCGCCTTGCCCTCGTTCACTACCACACCCTTATCCTTCGCTTGCTTAGTCAGTCTGGAGAAAGCAGAAGTCACAGCGCGGTTGTTGAGGCCAATAATGTCAAGATCATTGCCACAATATATTAGTATGTAATCCTCAAATATTCCGGACCATTCCGGAATAAAAACTCGATTCACATGTGAACTTGAAAATTTTAGTAGCTTCTGAGAACAGGCATTTACAAAATATGATTTCGGAAAGCAACCATACTTGAATCCCAATTAAAAAACGTATCTAAAGCAACCCTGATTGTTATCAACCACCGACCGCCAGCTAACATTCAAACAAGTGGACTCTCCATATTCAGCAAATTCTTGCAGTTCTCTTCGCATTTGCTCTGTCAGGATTATTTTATTTTATCCATTAAAATTATGTTGAAGCCGATTTTACATCATTTTGACGAATATTTGGTCGAAAATGTTAAAACGGGTGAAATAAATTCAATATTATTGCGATAAATTATTTGAACGTATAGAAGAAAAAACTTCAAAAGGGGTGAAAAACCAAATTTACTCGCATAAATCGGTCATTTATATAAATACAATAATATGCTGTTAATTTAAAATAAAAAACGCTTTTCATGCCCTCGAATACCGCATCGCTGTTAATTTAACATTACATTCTGCCATTCATTTGAGCCATCTTCTTATCATTGCCAACTGTTAGTCGCATAAGGACACACACACTCACATACATATGCATTTACCCACTCTCTTTCTATCTCATCGTTCCATTCAATCAGTTTGTTAACAGCCTCTTTGGCTTTTTGGTCTTTGGCTTTACATTTTGATGACGTTTGTGTGGTTTGTGCGTTTGGCACAAGTGTATATACATACACATATGTTAACATAAATTCGTATGTGTACATTTGCTATAACCGTTGTTAATGCGTTGCGTTGGCTCCAATGTCAAATGCACTTTTATCCAATTTTTTCTTTCGCCTGTATATTCGCATGAATTTTCACACCCACTGCCCCGTTTCCGCTTGTTATTTTGCGTAAATTCACAGAAAGCGACTTAGTCTTTATTACAATGTTTTCTATTATTGTTGTAGTTGTTGTTATTCCGGTTAAGCTGGCCCTTTGTTGTTGTCACCTGTTATGCAGTCATCAGAGCTGCGCCGGAAGTGTTGAATAGTTTTACATAAATACTAATACAAGCATAACCTACAAATGTAAATACTTTTGTATGTAAATACAATACGAGTACATGAAGGTCACAATGGTGCCAGCATGCGTGTCGGCGACACAGGTGACCAGTGATAATGCAACAAAAACAATATGCAACTAAATGTAACAACAGTTAGTTCTAAAAACCATGAATATACATGCAAAAATACGGGAATTTATATATAATGCACATTTGAATACATATACATATGTACGCTTATGTATATATGTGATTATGTACGCCTCAAACACTTTTTCTTCTTTTCTTTTCATTCGGTCTCTTATGGTTACCGTTGAACCTGCATTTTCCACTAATTTAATTGTTGTTCTGTTTGTTTATTTATTTTTTGCTTTTATGTTTGTTTTTGTTTAACGCAAATGCAAAATGCAAATACTCTGTATTAACACCTTTTGCCAGAAGCGCACTTCGCGACATTACATGACATTGCAAGGGAGCTCTGTATAAGCAAATAGCATAGAGAGTAAAGGATGTAGAAGGAACACGGGTATAGGTTAGGCAAGTCTTCAATGTGGATATGTAGCAAGGTGTGAAAGTGACAGGTGTTGAAGTACTAGTTGGCGGTTTTTTCGCTGGAATCTCAGTGAACAAAGAAGAAAAAAATTTATATAAAATAACATAATAAAAGATGAAATATAATAAAATTGAATACAAAAAGTCAAATAAAAAACAAATAAAATAATAGAAATAAATAAAAAATGAAATTACCTGAGATAAAATAGGAAAAAATAAAAGGAAAAAATGAAAGGAAAAAATATATATATAAAATATAAAACAAATAAAATGAAGCAGATTTTTCAGTAAAATCACGGTAAACACAGAAGAAGAAAATTAAATAGTATTTTGTTTAAAATGAAAATAGTTTTATTAAAACTGAATAAAATAAATATAAAAAACACATTAAATAAATTAAATAAAAAATAAATAAATTAAATTAAATTAAATGAAATAAAATAAAATAATTTAAAAAATAAAATAAAATAATAAATAAAATAAGAATTTCAAATAAATTGAGATAAAATAAGAAAAAAGAGAAAAAAATAAATATATGAAATAAAAAACTAATAAAGTAAAGTAGAGTTTTCAGTGGAATCACAGTAAACAGACCAGAAGAAAAATAAAAATTATTTTGTTAGAAAGGAAAATAGTTTTTTTAAATCTGAATAAAATAATATAAATATAAACACAAATGAAACGAAATGAGATAAATAGAAGAAAAAAAATAAGTTTAATAAAAAACAAAAAAACTAAGATTAAATTAAATGAAATGAAATAAATAAGAAAAAAGTAAATTTAAAGAACACAAATTAAAATACAAGCAAAAAAGATTAAATGAAATAAAATTAAAAAAAAAATAAATAAAAAATAAAATAAAGTTTAGCACACAACAAGATTAAAATCAAACAACATAAATAATATTAAATTCTTTTAAAGAAACTTAAATATATTACAAAAAAGTAATGTCAATACTCAAGACAGCCGCCTCTACGCACCGGAGTTGAGCCGGATTTTACCCGGCCAAGAGCTGTCACCCTTTCGGCCGTCTAATCCCGTTCAGGTTAACAGTTAACCTGAATTAAAGTGCGCCAACGGAGCTACACCACGCAGCTGTACTGCTCCAAATCCTTCTTATCAGGGCTGGCGTCGAAATCAACCCTGGTCCGACTGATTATTTCTGCTACGTGTGTCATAAAAGACTCCACCACTAGCGCTATGGTTGGAATCATCTTAAAGTCTGCTCAGGCCTTAAGACCCATAAGGAGTGGACTACCATGCTGCCAACGCCCGAATGTGCCCCAGTTTACTCTCCCTTAGAAATCGCTATCCCTATTGGCAAAATATTAGGAAAAGCGATTAGCTTAGGCTTCTCTTTAGGCCAATCCTTCACCAGCCAAATTTATCAGCATTGATAGCAATAGATGGTAAACACTAACTGCAAAGTCCGGACTATAAGCTGAATGTTCCAAGCTCTCAGAGCCTCTGGCGAGTCGATAAGGATACCTATGGTCTGGCGTTGGCTCTTTGGTCGGGACTTGTGATTGGAACTTAGTTCCATGTTTATTGTCCATAGATGAATATCTTCCAAAAATTTTGTAAAAACAGAACTATGAAAATGTAAAATTTTTTAAAATCTTATTCCACAACCCTGAAAAAAAAAATTATAATTTATAGCAAATTGAACTCAAAAAAATTCGAATTTTTCGGATAGGTCAATCTGGTTTACTTCCTGAAGAGAAAAGGAGTCTTCCTGTTCATCTAGGCACCTATATACCGAATTCCACGTACGATTTTTTCGAATAAGCAATTCCCTGATCCACTTTCCGAAAAGAAATTCGGAGAACCATAGAAACAATGTTACAATTTTTCGGTATAATCTGCCGGGTAGTTTCGGAGATCACAGGAAACAAACGCACAAAGAAGCCATGTTATATAAGGCATTATACATATATACATAGATAAGCAATCAAAACTTTTCTAAACACCTTCACACCTAAGCAGGAAACGCTCAAAGCTCCGTTATGTTTGTACATCTGTATGTATGTTCGACATAAATTGTTTCTCATAAAAATCTGCTTAAAACCCAAAATTGCAAAATATAATGAGCCAAAATAATTTACCTTCACTTTTTAGCGACTTTAATTTTTCATCACTTTAATTCAAAACACATATTTTTCATCAAAAAAAAAATAAAATTCTCGAAACAACTGTATAAATAAAAATTCGGTAAATATACTAATATTTGGCCACAAGCGCACACGCTACGAGCCGCATAACTAGAAGTTGAGAAAACTTGATATGAAACGTTAGCAAAAACCTCTGACTACCGCTTAAACCGATTGTAACGGTAGTGAGTAGACATTTTGAAAAATTCAATATCGATGCCGTCATGCAATAGGCCAATGTCGTACAGATACTAAATTTCGAATTAATTTCGAATGCCAACACCCAAGACAGACTATCAGTTTAAAGTTATGATTCGAGGTGTCGTAGTGTAACACCCGAGTGCGCGGATATTTAAAAAAAGAATTTACATATATATATTTATAGATAACAATAGATGTCTAAATAATATAGTGATCTAAAAGAGAAGTTTTCCAAAATTTATATTTTCTCAATTTACTAATACAACATACATACATACTCGTACATTATATTTATATAAATACGAAGATGAATTTGAAATACGTGAATTTTGGTGGTGTGTTCACCACTTTGCTGTTATTGCAAGCATTCATGCCACCGGGAGCTGAAAGTAAGCCGGAACCGGGCAGGAAAGGTTCTATGGGTGAGTAAAAGAAAGATCTTAGTTTATTAATTAAAAATTTAGAAATGCAAAATATAAAATTAAATTACGTCACTTATCCATACCCAAAAATTGCTCACTTCGTATCTGTTATTGATATAATATATATACGTGTATAATAGGTATATATATATAAATATAACTGAAGCTTTATAGCCGCAAAAGTAATTTTTCGGTGAGGTACTTCTCCAATTTTCCAATAAATGGAAGTTTGCTCTGAGCCGCCTCCGAAAGGCCGATAGATTTTTAGGAGGGTCTTTTATTTCATAGCAGAATTACGCTCGGAGGACTTGACATTTCCTGCAAGAGAGGCGACCACACTTAGGAAAAATTTTATTTTCTATGATAATGGGACTATGATTTTTCCCTCAATTCGATTTATAGGAGTATATAATTGGCGCTTCGTAACCGCTAAAGTGATTTTCGACTGAGCGCCTCTTCCACTTGAACTCTGAACTCCGAACGGCTGATGGTTTTTCATGAAGAAGTCTCTTTTTTATGTCAGAAATACTCCCGAAGGAGTTGACATTATCTGCCGAGGGGCGACCCAAATTAGAAAATTTAACTTAATTTGTTTTTTAAATTAATTTTCTACAAATTTTGGATGTTGGTAGTACCAGGGTTTGAACTCGGCTACAGCGGCTTCGATCCGATTTGCGAACCTAAAATCCATGCCGCGTAGTACTTCTCGTTTCTATTTCTCTCAAGATAGCCGTTTCTTCTATTATTTCGCCAGTTTGAATTTGCAGCTAAGATTTGACCACCGACTTGTAGATTGTTTTACCCTGCAACCCCTCCTTACTGGGTCTTACCTTATAGCTTTTCTTTGTTGCTGAACACCGGGAGAGCATTGTAAGGCCTTCTCTTGCATTGTATTAACGCTTTACACCTTACAAAATCTTTGTCCTCATAGCTGGCATTCTTCCGTTGCAGCTTTCCGAAGAAGTATTACAAACACTGCACTCTCTACAGCAGAGGTATGCCGATCGATCCGCCGGTGATAGTTACAACTTCGCCTCTTTACTTTGTCTACTTTCTTTTCATTTTTCCCGGAAAGCTTTATACTTGCCACAGGTTCTTCATTAATATTGATCGAAGTAAGCATAGATCCGCCTCTTCTTTTCTTGTTTGTAAATCAAATGAAGAGAAGGATGAATACCCACAGGTCTTTGATAGACAACGCTAAGACCACTTCTACCTACTCTCTTCGAAGCACAACAGTTTTTAGAGATATCTGCGTTATGCTTTTGTTTTTATGTTGTAGTAACCGGAAAAATATTTCCCAAATTAGTTAACGGGGAATATTGCGGAAGTGACAATCCTTGGCTGAATAAAAACCTGTGTCTGTCGCAACTGATTTACCCCGAATCTCATACACATAATCTTTCCTCACTAGACAGATCTCATTCTCATTTGTCCTGTTTATTTTTCTATTTACACGTATGTCCGTCAGTCTAGTAGCAAGCAGTACTAAGCTCTCGGCTAAAGTAGAAGCACATATGTGTATATCCCATGTAGAACAATGGAGACAAAATCGCTCCTTCTCGCTATCTCTCTCTCTCTCTCTCTATCTGTATCTTGATAATATGTTAAGTGAAATCATTTTCTTACTCTAAGCATATTTTAATACTTTTCACATCTGTCAATGGCTATACACATTTCTAATCACTGAACTCAATTAGCTTTGGGCGTTTTGGCCGGTTTAACCATGGGTGGAGCCGCGGCACACTTTGCCACCAAGCATCAAATGAAGAAGAAAGAGGAATTACCTCCAAATTGCCAGAAGCAGATTGTAAGACAGCAAGACCCTCAAAATCCGGGTAGATACATTGAAACCGAGAGTGTAGTATGTACCCCGCTTGAAAACCAGCAGCCGCCGCAACAACAGCAACCACAATACCAACCGCAGCACCCGGCACCAGCTTATCAACAAACGGTAAGTTCACAAGCGGAATTGTCAAAGCCGCAAAAAATATTATATCCAAATTTATATGTGCCGCAGCAGCAACAACAACTGCAACAGCCGATTCAAAGACAGCTCGGGTTGCAACAACAAACGCAGGCTCAACAAGCACTACAACAACCATCGTACTACATGCCCGCACTGCCATGTTCTCCACCTGCTCATCCACAACCAGCCACTGTAAGTAACAGTCAAAGCGCAGAAGAACAAAATCACCAAGCCGCTGGCCAACATGAGCCGCCTAAGGCTCCATCTCCACCAACAGAATTACAACAGTCTCACAGGCAATCGCCTTCGATATCATCCTTTATTCAAAGGATACGTCAAAGACTGGCCCATCGAAGAGCACAACAGCAAACTCAAGTCAGTGGTACTCAAGTGCAATCGGAAAGTCAACCGGCACAGCAACAGCAAAAACCAGCGGTAAATGTGCCCGAGCAAGTTGCACAAGCTGCTGCGGCACAACCTGATGTAAATTTTACGTTGAAAGTGATCAATTTTCTAAATATTATCTTTATATTTTTCTACTTTAGCAATATGTGCAGCCACAGGTAATGCCGTCTTATGTTCAACATCAAAATCCACAGTACCCAGTAGGTCACCAACATGCAATCGGGTTTGTGCCACCTCCACAGCCTGCGCAGCAACCACAATCCGGTCAAACAGTACAATCTGCACAACCGCCACAACTTCCTGCACAGCAGCCAGAACATGTGCAGCCTGTTCATTCCGTTCAACCAGCGCAGCCTGCTCCAGCAGCCCAACCTGCTCAGCTCGTCCCACAAGCACAACCGGCCGAACAAGTTCAATCAGCTCCAGCAGCCGCACCTGCGCAGCCAGTACAATCCATTCAATCTGCTCAACCTGCCCAAATATCCCAACCAGCCCAACCATCCCAACCAGCACAGTCAGCACAACCTCTTCAACCAGTTAATAACCCCCAAACCGCTCAACCTGCTCAACCAGCCCAACCAGCTCAAATGATTTATCCCGCCCTTCCGGTTCAACAACTTCAACCAGCACAATCCGTCCAACCTATGCAACCAGTTGCACCGGTTCAACCTGCCCAACCTGCTCAACCAAGTCAGGTGTTTGTTATGTCGAAGAAAACGCGATACTTTGGTAAATCTTCCGCAGAAAGAATATTACAAACCAACCTCGTCTTGATGATGATGATGGCCTTCCTAGTGATTTGGTGGAAGTAGATGCATTTCTTTATCAACATTTTTATTCTCACTTAATAGTATGCAGTGATCAGACTTTATGATCGAGTATTTAAACTTTAATTTCTCTCTCGAAACTCTTTTATAATTAACGGTTTTCTCCAATGAATATAACTATTTAATAAATTTTATAAATCTAAATATCTAAATGAGAGCTTAAAGAAAACGAGCGAAGACTAAATCAACTATAAGCTCGACATTCTAGAGATTCTGTCTTTTAAAACCTCATTTGGAGAACCCTTGATCAGAGTATCTTGAGTTGAACTCTGGCACAAATACTTCTAAGTATTGTCTAAGGTAAGTACCGTTAAATAAATGAAAACACACAAAAGTAGAAACTATGGGGTGTGATCATTGAAATGTCTTATAGGTGTCGATCTCGCTAAAAAACAAATCGTTTTATTTATCCTCTCGGACTTCGCAGAGTTTCCTTGAACATAATTATCTTTGAACCGATATTAACAAGCAGACGGCCTACAAGTTTCTGATTATTTTGTAAATTAAAAGTCGACCGCCTGGGTAATCATTCCTCATTGAAGTCTTTAAAGGAAAACGAGTTCTTATACGGCTACACACTAAGCATAGAGCCTTTCGGAGTAGATTACTTAAAATGTAGAATTTTTCCCCGTAGCTATAAGAGCGATGGCTTCAACGTTTGTTAACACAACCAAAGCAATTTTCGGATGCTCTATTTCCTTATCTAAAACAGTCCAACAACGAGCGAAAATAATGGATTAATCCCTTTTAATTCAGTAAATCTTCCCGACTTGCCCATATCCTGATAAATAAAGCCGAAGTTACAGAGTGACCGCAATATCCGAGTGGTTCGCAATAATTGCGGTTGACCCCCAGCAGGCGAACCCGTTCGAGTTTACTTCTGACATGGAATAAAAGCTTCTAATTATAATCTATCGGCAGTTCGGAGTCGATTTAAAATAAAAAAGGTCAATCCATTTGATGGGCAACATCAGCTAATAATATATTAGTTAGCTGTTGAGGTTACTCGCTTACGAGGCCCCGGTAATGCGCACTTATGCATGATTGCCCGTTGTGATACCCATGACAGTCCTTAAATTTCCTTTCAACTTCCTACACCTTCAAATCATTTAATCCGATATTACTGACGCCTCCAAAATAGTGACAAAATTGCCTCAATGAGAGCAATGGGAGCGCGCTCTACCAACCCACCTCGTCTATGACGTCCCTACAGCTGTGATAGAAGTCATTATAGATCTATTATTCTCCCCTGCTCACGTCGTGAGCAAAGCCAACCATAATTAGTTACGTTGGCAAGTCGTGTGCAAAGTTTACCTCGTCAACAATTTTCTAGGGTGTTTCTGTACATCTTATTGACACCTGAGGAGCTTGCATTGAAGAGACTTAATCAAGTTACCATTGCAGAGTTGAGAAACTTTGAAGCTGCTTCTATTAGTGCAGTTAATTTTGCTAGAAAAACGCTACAGTGGTCGGTAAGCCACTTACTCATTTCGATTGGGAGTGGTTCTAGGTGAGCTCTACAGCTCCCCCGCCTTAGAATTTTAAGTTACCTGATGGCCTAAAGTGTGGGCCCTGGAGGGATTTGGAAAAGTTAAAGAACTGTTGCTCGCAATATATAAGGAGATTTATCGACCGCTCGTAAACTACGCTGCTTCGATTTGAAGTTCGGAGCAAGAGAGAGGCAGACGAAGAAGCTCTAAGCTTTTTGGAGAAACGCCCTTAGAATCGCTATAGAAAACAGCCTTTTAGACAAGAACCGATATACCGATAACCTTTAAACGCCATCCGATAGTCCGTCATATCTTACTTGAGCATGTCCCGTACTGCGGTTTCTCCATGGTTGAGTTTCATTAAGTCTTATGACGTTACAACTCGCCTGGCGGGAGAAGATTAAGCAAAGTTTCAAGTGCTTTTGTAGCTATCCACTGAATTTTGAACAACTTGCTGTTGAAAGTAGCTTGGTTTTGTGTCGAAGCCCAGACAGCGGCTCCGTAGAATACCAATGAAATGTAACAATATCTCCAGTTATAACTTTACAATAATCGCTAGGACTTGAAGAACTCTGTCGCCACTCATTTCGGACATGAATGAATGCCAGCGGACAACGTCCTATGCTAAGAAGCAACAGAAGCAGTTAAGAAACAGTACGAATGACAAAATTACGATAGAAAAGACTGACTCGAGCTGAATGCCGGGGACATCATGAAGGAGATATAGAAACTCCAGCAAGCTCTATGCAAACTTCGGTAACTGTCAGCAGAATTAGAAATCTTTGATATTAATTATTCGCGTAATTTTGGAAAATTCTCGTGAAAAGAGAATCACCACTCTCCTCTCTATAGATCATTGGAAACAGTAACGCACTGATGCAAAAATATACTGACCGAGCAGATTAGAGTTCACAGCAACAAGCGCTTGAGAAAAAATTGTTTCAATGGCGATACGTGCATGTGTGTATATTTAAAATTTTTTACAATATATTGCGATTACATCTAAACATCGATGTAGGACAGCGATTTTGGCACGCAAAAGGCGGTCGGTCATACGCATAGATAAATAATAAAAATAAATAAAAAACGAGGAATTTGTACAATTTTCCTAAAAGCATCTACTAACTACAAAAATAAATGAAAAAATCCAAAACTTACAACAACAACAACAAAAATGAAAATGAAAAACACACAAAATGGAATCTCACCGATTTGTTAGCATTCAGATTCAATGAATTGATAGAATTCGTTTTCCGATTGCCAAACGACTAACCTAGTTTTCATTTGATGCCGGCCAAAAGCTATATGTGTATGTAAATACATGTGAATGTATGTATGTATGTATGCATGTATGTGCAATGCAGTCGCCACAACAACAGCAATAACGACGACGACGACGACGAAACGTTGAAGAATATCACAACTTATACAGCCAGCGACCGCAGCCGGCATTGATGGCACGCAGCCACTGCGGCGTGGAGTAAGCTTTTTTGTGGTTTTTTAATTTTCATTTCCTTTTTTAAGAATATTAAAATTCAAACTTTTTCACTCTTCCAGAGGTAGAAGATCATGGCGCTGGGTCCACATTTGCAATTTTTCGTCAACCCTTTTGGATGTCTTTAACATATTTTTCATCTTTTTTGACATATTCGTTGACTGTCTTAATGTTTGTAGCCACAAGATTACAGCAAAGAGTTGCAATTTCAGAGTGAATTTGCTGTTCACCTATGCTTATATATATATACATATGGGTGATGGTTAAACATACATTTTTTCAGAAGTAAAAAATATTTTCTTTGATAAAAAAATTACGAGGAAAACTTTTTATTTTGGTTTTAAAATGCATTTTTACTTTAAGGCCAAAAAAGTGACCCAAGGTCAAGCTTAACAATGTGAGACTTGGATAGGCGATACATTTCTGCCAAAAAAGATGCAGTTGAAGCTTAAATTTCCCTATTTATATTGGCTTTGAAGCAAGAAATCTGGGTTCAACATTGAAAACAAAGTCCTTCTTTATAATGCGACTATAAAACCGATATGAATGTATGGAATGCAGTTATCGGGTACAGCTTGTGCGACAGATCTAGATTTAATATTGTACAAAGATTTCAGTCGAAAGCAGTGAGAATAATAACAGAGGCACCAAGGTATAAGCGTAATGAAAATGTTCATAGAGATCTAAGCATACGCACAATCAAAAAAGAATAGATTGAAATCGTTACAGAAAAATACATAGCAAACTTGCACCATCCTCAGAACCCTTTGGCTATACCCTTGGCCTCCGCAACAAGTCAAACGATCCTGAAGAGTAGGGACTTACTACCCTTGTGAAGAGCAACATTGAGCCAGCAATGCATTTCTAGCTACTTTGTTTGTGCAAGGTCAAATCGATTTCCTCTTACGTATTTTTTCACTTTACTCTCTTTGAGATGCAAACGCTAGAAGCCTACCTTTACAACTGTCCGGGCTTCAACCGATTGAGGAGTCACATTTTTAACTACACGTATGCACCCAGTTCCAACCTCACGGGAAAGCACAATGAGCCTGCTCAATGGCTTAGACGCGATAACTAGCGGTCAAGTCCTCAACCGTCCTCTTTCAACCAGCAACCAACCAACTCTTTGGGATAAGATCCAAAAATAATTTCAATGAAATTATACTAACCAAGAGAGATTAGCTGTCTTGGGTCATTTCATATACGTGAATAAATTTCAGCCGAGAAGCTCAATTATCGGCCATCGTTGTTTTGGATCCATTCATCGAACATGCGAAACGTTTGATGTCCGCTCGACATCAATTCGTACAAGCGGAATTTCGCAAGCCCGTAGATCAAGTTCCCTCCGAAAAATCATATCATAAAGTGGATGGTTATAGCGCCATATACTGCTGGCGATGGCGGAGGTACTTATTCAGGTCTTCTTCGATACTCTGCTCCCCTGTGTTTTCATGTTGCATATTATCCCTTAGAGTAAACGTGGTACGAACCCAATTCATGGCTGCTCAAATTACTGAATCTGCTGGGTTATTATGTCGATCGGTTATTGAACGCAGCGAGCGCCTGGCCGCTAAAACTGAACCATTATTTTGATAATCAAATTCAATGAATTGTAAATGTTGTTCGAGAGTAAATCTGTGTATTACGAAATGGAAAATCAAACTGATGTATCAAGTAACAACAGTTGGAACGATCAACTTCGAAAAAGTATTGCCACATTGAAAACAGAAAATATACAAGAAAATTTTCTCAGGCGAGCCAGGAAAAATGGCATGAAAATATCTCTCTGGATATACAAAGAACCAGATACAACAGACGTATATGTTGTACATAAAAAACATCTGCAAATGTAAACTTTATACGAAAAGGAAATATTAAAGCATTAAATTTGTCACAAACTTCCTATGGCTATCCGCAAAAAAAAAACTAAAAATAAAAAACTAAAAAAGAAATGCCAAATACAGCAAATATACATACACTCATACATACATATTCACCCACTAACATAAAGCACACATTAACCAACGCCGACAAGAGTTCATTATCCTTTTTTGCTGGCACACGTGTGAACGTCCTTGGGAAAATGTTATGTTATTTTGGCGGCTTAGCATGAGGAAAATTTGCAGAAAAGGCTATTTAAAAAAACCAACAAC